AGTGAAATAAGGTAGAGTGCACTCTTATTCAGGGTAAGTGTTAATGTCTGTATACAGGTTTTTGGTGAAATTTAAAAAAAAAACAAAACAAAAAAAACAAAAAACAACAAAAAGAGAAAATAGGATTACATCTGACATGGAGATGTTTCTTTTGCCATTGTGTTGATGCAAGTTTTCAGTTTTTAACTGTGCACAAATGGCAGAACTTCTCTCTTCTGTTGTTTTTTTTTTTTTTTTTTTTTAAATGTAACCAATTTAAATCTAAGTGTGGTTTCTACCATATGCTTGTTCCAACCATATTTGCAGTTAAAAAAAAATATTTCCAAAACATAAGAGTTCAGGGAAAATACACTGTTAACCATGAATCTGTATAGATACTAATTTTTGAGGGTGATGCTAGCAAAAGGAAAAGATTGATCTACATGGCTTGAAACTAAACCATGGAGTTTACTTTAACGAAGGAAAACCGCAGGACTTTTTCTCATCAGCTTTGTCAAAGAGTATCTATTGTGAATAAGGCTGAGACATCCATGTGTGCTTAGAAGGTGCTATGGTACCATAATAGAAGGTACTCTGTGCAAATTTTGAAAGAAGGGGAAATACACCCTAAAGTGATTGAGGTTAAAAGCTGTCATCATGAGAAAAATTTTAGTCTTGGGCATGTGTTTGAATTTCTGTTGTCTGTAAATTACTGATGCAATGCAGCAAGTTTTGGGTAAGCTGACAAACCAAGATGATAACTAGTTTTTTTTAAACTGAGTTCCTAAGTTTAAAATACAAAGTGCTACTCTGGCACAAAACAGTAGTGCTTGTAAATAACGTGTTTGTATGATCGTCTTGGTATGCAGAAAGGAGTTTTTCTGCGTCTCATCATTCAGGGAAAAGACGAATTTTCTGTTTGAGCTTACACTGGTTATAAATGTTCAGCACAGATGCAAGAGCGTGAGTAGAATAAGATGGAGACACAGCATGACAAAAGGAAAGCAGTAAGGAAAAAGGCAACATTCCGTTTCCCGACAGAAGAAAACAGATGACATAATCTCTTAAGTGAAAACGTATATAATTGTTTATAGTATGTCTGTAATAAATGGTATCAGTGATGGTTTTTCATTATATTTTATCCACGTCTAAGGAAGACAGCGATGAACAATTTCAAGGTATATATGTATAATGCACATGGGCTGATTCCTGAGTCGGGTTGAGTCCTGGGCAGTGGGATTTGGCAAGGTTTCTCTCTTGCAGAGTGCAAGGGAGCATGCTTGGCTTTCAAGAGCCCTGCGTGTGCAGTACAGAAGAGGCAGAGAGAGGCTGAAAAAAGAAAGGAGCCTGTGGGGGAGAAGCGTGGTTTGGGAGGCACTGAGTGGCAGGGAAGGTGTTCTTATAGTAGGGAGCAACCTGAGCCGCAGAGGAGATGAGGGGAGATAGCGGAGAGTTGGTTAGCTCAGGGAGCCACTGAGAATTGCTGTCTCCTGAAAGAGAATAAGGGCTTCTCCCTGCAAAGAGGGAGAGTACTGCTTCTTAAGTCTTTCATCTAATCTTCCTGCTTGCCATTTGTTTTCCCTTATTAGAGAGGGCATTTTAGTTCAATTTACTTTTGTCTAATGAGAGGTTGTTTTCGTGCTCCAGTGTCTTTGTGGTGGTGTATGCGTGTAAAGCAATAAGGGCCAGAGGGACTGTTTTGGATAATTTTGGCGAAAGACTTCAGCTGACTTGGTTCACAGAGATGTTAACGATTTGTGATATCTCTGTACAAGAAATGATGTTGTATGTCAGTAATATATTTTTAAAAAATTAAGGAAATAGATTCTGGTTTTCTCTTCAACAAGAAAATGACCTGTAGGACCCTAACATTTACAACAAATTGGGAGAAAAGAGAAAGCATTGTAGACAGTGGTCAAAAAGTCCAGTTGTTTTTGTGCTAGCGGGGAAGCATTCCAGACGAGCACCATAAACTTCATAGCCTCATGGCAATAAGCAAAAACTTGCAGGAATAAAAAGAAAGCAAATAGCTGCAAGGCCATCTTTCCAAATTGGAAAACAGTATTCTCTGTAATCCCGCTGCTCCTGCAAACTTTGGTTTCAAAGTTTAGACAGCTGTAAACTGAGAATGGGATAATGTAATTTTGCTTCAGTTTCTCTGAAAAACAGTGGCAGAAAGCAAGCGAAAGGAGGTCTTCAAAATTGAGGGCAGGGGGGATGTGGTAAAAGAGCACCTTGCAGCAGAGGGTACAGGAAGCAGACAGAAGTGCTGAAGTATGGTCCAATCTTACTAGAAAAACATTATATGAATGGTGTGGTACAGGAGACATCTTCTTTCAAGTGCTGAGGAAGCTGGGAGGCCTTGGAACAAATGAGGGTCCTGCCTCCCAGCAGTCACAGAGATGGAAGACTTCATCTTTCTCTCAGCCAGAGGACTGAGAGAGAAATGAGGAGTTGGTTGTAGAGGACAGCTCAGGAAAAGGAGAAATCTAATTTCAGAGTGTTGGCTTTGGGAGAAGGAATGCGCTTGATGTAAGTGGGGTGTTTTTTTTTTTTTTTTTTTTTTTTTTTTTTTTTTTTTTTCTTTTTTTCCATCTTTGGCTTCTTTAGTTGACTGGGGAATTGTTTTTACCCTCTTCTCACTGTGGAAAAAGGAAGACTGAAATGAGAAAAGGGGCTGGGATGATGGCCTTGAAGAGTATAAGCAACAGTGTGTTTTACTTTGAATTTGTAATATGGCTCATTGAGTTGTGAAAGTTACAAATAAAAGTGCCAATGCAAGGGGTTTCTGGTAGTTTAGCAAGAGTGTTTCACTGTACTGTTCATGTTTATGTCAAAAGGAGTTGGAGACTAAATTATGCTGAATCATACAAAAGTGTCTCAGCATGTTTTCAAACTGTTGTATTGAAGACAGAATGAAAATTGGATACAGGTCACCAGAAACATTTTGGTCATACACGGAAAAAATTATTTTAAGGAATAAGTATTTGTCTTAAAGAAGGGAGTAACTTAAAAGTCCAACACTTTTTGGCTTTAGCTTTTATACACCTTCTTACCAAATGTGCTTAGAGGGGAAAAAAATTACTCTTCAGCACCATGTGAAGAACAGGAGTATGTGAGTGGAGAGGTTTGGTTCCTTTTGACCTACTGACACCTTTGGAAAATCACACAAAATGGATAAATTTGGTGATCAATCCCTTTCTTCAGAATCTCCTTGTGAAAACATGCATAGCTCTCGATACCAAGATGACATTCACTTGGAACAAAAAAACCAATATTCACCTCTTGATTTTTGAGCGTTCCATCAATACCAGGACACAAATTTAAGTCGTACTTTTGCTTTTCTTACTGATTTCTTGCATAAGTGGAGATAGAAGGGATTTCCTGCATATAAAAACTGTTGCTCACTATGAGGAAGGGTAAGAGCATTAGATTCTCTGGTTGTTCCTCAGCATCAGGTGCTGGTATTTATTCCAGCTGTAATTACAAAATTGTGCTGCGAGTGAATGTGGTATGGTCACTCCAGCTTTGTTAGCATGTCTCTAATGAGGAAACTGTTGCACATTCAAACTTCTGTTCTAGATCTAGTAATTATGACTGCTATCAGTATGAGCCACTATAATTAATACTATAAATGACAGTTACAATCTTATTTTCACTCAGTTGCAACATTTGAAAAATTATTGTCTTAGACCAACGTTCTCTTCAACTTTTTTGTTTGCCTATGGATAAATTATTTTGGAAAGACTTGGGGAAAAAAAAGTCATTTTTGTTTAATTTCATTTTGGATATTGTGAAAAATTCCTTTCTTATATTACTAAAGATGTTTTCCCTCTCGCCTCACCTGGAGGTTTTTGCAGGGAGTGTTTTATAGCACCCATGTATTCTGCTAACTGGACGTCAGTGTTGCTAGAAGCTGCTGACTGGTCTTTGAGGTTATTCCCAGACAGCATGTGAATAGACATGAATAGTTGGTGAGTCTAATTGGAGATGCCTGCAAGAGGAAGCTGTTTAGTCTACAGCTTCTCTGAAACAACTGCAACTGCCTACGTCTGTTCCCTGGGAATCCTGGCAGTCGATAGCGGGAGGCAGATCTGCTGTGAATAAAATCTCTTCCCCCTCTCCTCTTTATATCCTTATTTAGACTGTCTCTGCAGAGCCAGCCCAAGACATGTTAGATACTAAATGAAGTTAATGTAGGGAGTTATCCATTTATCCTTCAGCTGCCTCCGTACCCAAAAACCTGTGCCTGATCTGTCATTTACATGCCTTAGGTTGAGATGGCACGGAAGTAGTGGTGATGGACTGTTGCATCTTGTGAGCTTATGGAAATAAAATTTATGACCGTATATATATGGTCATGCCATCATATTCAAAGCAACCTTCCATACAGGTTAAATGTGAGGTTGTATAATTGGTATGTGAGAGGGAAGCGGTTGCTCGGTATGGCTTTTGGACATACACCAGGAGAAAGTAAGGAACAGTTGAAAATGAGATTGTGAGATCCCAGTTTGGTGGATTAATGCAGAACAGCACAATGAGAGCTGTCCTTAGTGCGGAGTGAAAGGCTTTAGACCACGTTCTGGTTTAGTTAAGTAACCACTACCAGTTGTAGGAATTAACAATAGCAGTCCAGTTCTTCCTGGGTTCACAGTTATTCCTTAGATCAAGTGTATGATTTCCCTGTCAGAACTTGATGGTACATGTGGTCACAGATCCATGCAACTACTCGTTTGTTTTTCTGAGAAGGTGCCTTTTCCTCCTGTTTGTCAGCAGTTTTCACCTGATTTAGCAGCTTGTGGGTGAAAGTATGTATAACAGAGCTTAAAATGTTCTCATTTCTTTAGCTTAGTAAATACTAAATGGCACAACCTCATCGAATCTAGTAATTTACCAGGTAAATATTGCCACAGATAAACTCATATTTAAGTGCTGTACACCTCTCTTAGTTAAATCACAGGAAGTTTTACCTTGTGTTCCTGTAGCACCCTTGAACCATTACTCTTTATTTTGTCTCTTAGGCACACCACTTCTAGTACGAAGGAGCAGTGATCCAGCTTTGGGCCCACCTGCTGACTTCCACCCAAGCGCTTCTCATCCCAGTGACCACAGTCTCAAGCATGTTGTGGCAGTAGGTGTCATGTAACTCACCTTTTTCTTAAGGGCAAAAACTGTTCGTACCTGTTGGTATATAGCAGTTTTATAAGCTATATATGAATTTGGATCTAAAACAAAGGGCATCATACTCATTTTCTGTAAAGTAGAGAATTTCCTCTGGACAAAATGGTTATTTTAGATGATATAGTCGATTAACAGTGGTTCTCTTTCTTTAAAATAAGAGATTTACATAAAGCTCAATGGTGACATAAGGCACTGGAATATGAACTGAACTTTTAGCAATTGTTTCATTGTTCAGTATCATATTGTCCAGTTTTCCATTGCTTAGTAGAAAAAATGTACTTCCCCTTTAATACGCTTCATTGGTCTTGCACCCTTTTTCACTTCCCTGTTTTCTCATGGCATTTCTGTCTTCCTTTGGCACCCTGCTACTATCGTGCATGGTCTCTTCTTTCTCTCACTTTTCTGTTTTACAACCTGACTCTTCCCTTTTGAGGACAACTTTGTTTTCAACATAGTTATTACTAAATATTAGTGCAAAGACACAATTAGTGAGGATGCAGTAACTCTTAATCAGATGTTATTGCAGGCTGTCTTCAATCTTCTAAAAGTGATACTGTCTTGGTCAGACTTGGGTCACATTTTTTACTTTGCAATTTTAAGGCCTGAAGCTTTGTGTTTGTGTGGGGAAGGTGTTCCTATATTACTTATAAAAAGATGAAATTCTTTAGAGTCTCTGAATGTCAGCTGGGATACATAAGTGTATTAAGCTTTTTCATAGACTTCTGCACTACTTTATGCCAAATGAATGCTGGCTTAAATAATATCGCAGTTGCACCTGCTTTCATTTGCTTGTGAAATTTATGCCTTTTCCCCTTTAGCTTTCCTATACAGTGTTGCAATTCACTCCCTGTCCCCAGTTGTGTAAACCAATCTATCGCTGTTTTGTTTCAAAACAAAAAACACTCAGAAACCCCCAGCCTCTTCATTTGGCGTGAGGGGGACGTTTCAGCCTAGATCACAACTAGTGTATAGCAAGTTACCACTAATGGCCGTATTGGTACATTAGGGAGCAGGAGGAAAGCACTGGGGTTCAGCAACACATGCTGGAGGTGGGGACCTTTTCAGCTGAAGATGTTGTATTTGAGACCATACTTCCAGTTAAGTTCATGTGAATGAGGTAAGTAAACAGAAAGTCAGATGATTTGCATATAAATGATGTTTTATGGCTCTCAATCTTAACTCTGTAATTCTGAAGGCCAACACAGGATTTCGGTTGTCTGTTCATTGTTTCTCCTTCCATGGCCAAATGTGTGTGCATTTAAGTATTTAGTGTGCATCTTATTTTGCAATGGCTTGGGTTATTTGCTAAGTGGTGCAATTTTAAAAGTGCTAGTCAGTCTCCAAGTACATTATGGTGTTACAGGGGGCTGAACTTTGTCAAAGTCCTGTGTCATTTGTCAGACCTGTTTGAGGTGAGAGGTTTTTCTTGATGTTTGCTGCAAGCACTTACATATTAGTGAAATACTGACAGTCTGATAAATGAAAGTACAAAGAAGAATTCTTGGTTAACAGTGCAGATCTTACTCTCTTTGCAAAGTTGAGAAATGTGTGAAGTGAGTATGTCAGTATGTAATGCTGACATTTGGTATTTTATAACCATGAAAATTGAAAAAAAAAAGTGGAAAAATTGGTGAAATTTGTTGCATTCCAGGACATGTTTCGAATGCTTTATTTTTGACCAGCAAGGAGAGAAAGATAGTTTTTTTCTGTTTTTTTTAAAATATGTTAGCGGGGACACGTGCATTTTATGCCATTATATGAGGACTGCAGTTATACTTGGACGCTAAAACCTCACCATGCTTCATTGACTTGCCATCAGTACACAAGAACCCTCTAGGCCTAAAGGAATTCTCTATGCCTAAAATACAGAGCATTCCTCTGTCAGCTACAGGGGTAACAGTCAAAACTGGACAGATAACAACAGTGGAGAAGGCTCTCAGATTTTTTTATTTTTTTAAATGTCATGTAAGGGGGGCGGGGGGAGGGGGGAGGCCCAGAAGGTTGAAATTTTTATTGTTAAAGTAAAAATCTGTTACGGCAAAATACATTACACCAGCTCTTACTTTTGCAACAGTACCATTTCTAAAACTCTCATTGTCAATCATACTGAAATATGCTTTGGCGTAATGTTTTGGGAAGCATAGAAAGCTTAAATAACGTAGGTTAAATTAGGTACAGATTGTTTTAAAACATGGGGAAGAATCAATATCTGACAAATGAAAAAACATGGCACAAACAGCTGAACACTGCATTTTGAATATAGCTATGCTCTTTCACGCAAGTGTTAAAGCAGTATTTAGAGAAAATTAATTTGTTCTGTATATTGCTGCTGAAAATTTAAAATTAATATTACATTTCCTTTGCCACAAACACCTATTTTTTTCACATTAAACTGCTTCCTTGCAGTCACATGCAAGTTAGAAAAAACAGAGCTGTTGGTAGATGAAACAATTTTCAGTGCATGTAGGAAAATTAAGTCTCTGTATTTATGCCCCAATTATCTTAGCAATCATTTTGTAATTGAAACCGACTTCCATAATTAGCTTAATTGTTTTGGCACTTCTGGCATTTTGGTGTTTGGCACATGTAGAACTGGCAGTTCAGTTCTATGTAAAAATACTCATAGTTAACCATGTAAGACAGCATACAGTCTATGTACTGATACACCAGTAGTTGATCAGATTTTTGAGAGGTGATTATCACATGAATCTCTGAAGTCAGCACTGTTTTGTTTCTAGGAGAGTGCAGGACAGACATACAGTAAGTAATGCATAAAATAAAACAGCAAACATGCGGTAATATAAGAAAAGAACATTGCTATCCAATTCAGGTGAACTGTGTGAACTTGATGAACCATTTGAGCTGTTCACAGTATTTACAGAATCTAAGCAGAGCATATATTTTGTTTTTTAGATGTTATCCCATTCATTCGAAGGAAGATTTTTTATTTTTTTTTTCATGCCATATAATGATTACCAAAATTACAAAATCTTTTCTGAGTGACCAGGTAGTTTGAGAAGAATTTGAGCTATTCTTTCATATTTTCTCTGACACTTATTTTGTCTTAGCTGTAGTTTTAGCCCCAATTAACAAAATACTTTTAGATCAATCAAAAACTGATAGTGAAGTCCAGCATCTGTTCTCTCAGACTGGAAGTCATTTAACAGATGGTACAAAATTTGAGTTTCTTTTTTCATCCAAGCCTCTCCTTCCTTATCGTGAGAGCTGCCACTGAAAAATTTAGAGACTATAATCAGGGAAAAATAGGGATAACAAATATCTGAATTTGTTATTGAAGAAAAGGTATTTGTTAGTGAATTTGTTAATATATGAAGGTAACTGTTAAGCTCGTCTTAGAGAAGAGTCTAGTTATAATCACAGAGCCCTGGCCAGGCTTTCAAAAATGGAAACTTCCCTCCCTAGGTCTCCAGAGAGGACCTCAGGGAAGCATAACTAGTTTAATGCACTTCTCTGAAAAAGTTGGTGTCCATAGCTTTGCTACGGTAATAGCCAAGTGCTGGTCCAGCTGCTTTTTGGCTGTGAATGGCCCGGCTTCAGAAAGTGGGGTTAGCAGCGGGCATGAAGTCTTCCACCGGGGATCTCCTTTGGAGTGAGGCCATGCTGTGTGATTGAGACAGTCGAAGCCTTTCAGAGGGAGGAAGCATTCTTTGCTCTCAGCTTGCTGAGAGGAGCTGCAGTTTCAGGTTCGCTACACCAACTCAGAAGTTCCTAGCTGGATAAAGGAACCTACCCAAGCTCCGCTCTGATAAAGGCGAGACGCAGCAAGGCAGAAACTCTGAATTGTGGGGTTCTGTTGGTTTGGTTTTTTGAACTTTTTAGGGAGCAGAATACATTTTGCTGCTTTTGCTCGGCCCAGTTCATCCAGGTAGTAATTGCTAAGGTATAATTACAGCATCTGAACTTCTCTTTCTGGAGCTATTACTTCTGCTTATCTCTCTTTTTGCCCATGGACAGACTTCCCTACTATCTTAAGACTTGGTCTGTCATGAGTTTTAGGCGGAGGATTGTGGTCCTGTTTAAGTTGATGGGAGTTTTGCATTAATTCTGGTAGGACTAAGGTTTCACCCCCTCTTGTTAACTTGCTGATTATTATGGAGATGCTATGTTCTGCATGACTTTTTTTTTTATAGTTGCACATTCCCTCGATAAGTACTTAGGTTAACTTGGAGTTAATCAATGGGAATGGCTGATTAAATTGCATTTATCCATATTTAAAGATACAATGAGATGCTGGATCAATTGAAGAGCTGCTCCAGTGGCTCAATACGGTTTCACTTGTTACCTAGATGTGACTTGAAATTGACTGTATTTTATGCATTGTGGACATATAATTTGCAATTTTGGATAAGGTTCATATATAATCAGAACATTTTTATGTTTCAAGCCCTTGTTAAAAAGGGTCGAAACCTCCTCTGGTTCTTCTGGCCATTAATTGTGTTTCTAATGTATTAGCCTTCCTGATTAAGTGTCTGCAGATTAGCATAATGTGAGTGTGTTTAAGGATGCAGCTCCATGATTTGTTCCTTTTGCATACTATTTTATGTATATACGTAAACATAAAGATGCTACAATCGGAGCTTGGCTTTGAGATAAAGATTATCAGTAGTACTTTCAAAATGTGGGGGTATTTTATTATAAGAAAAAGGCAGAAATATTACTTCATCTAATCAGGCTATTTAAAAGCAGGGCAGGGCAGAAAAGGTCTTTTTTGACACAGTGGTGGAATAATGCTGTAGAGTCTATAATTTGGGTTGATCTGGTGGCTTTCTGCTAAGGCTCGAGCTAAGAGACTGCACTGCCATGAGAGTTGTATTGTCTGTCTGATTTTAGAAGATAAAACTTTTGTCCAGTATGTTTACTCACCCTGATGAGGGCAGGTAGTTTTAATTTCTGGTCCCTTTGCATGTGTTAGAATTTCAGTATGAAATT